CTCAAACTTTCTACACAGCATTAGTACATCAATGTGTATCAGAAAATGTAATAAAATTTGGGGGTCGTTTGGGAGCCATTTTTTAGAAAAAACCACGGGCTAAACTTTATCACATTCTCAACTAATCCGTATCGTCACTACAATCTACTTCATGTTACATGTACAAATAATACTTCGAGGCATTTTTATTTTAGCAGACTACCTAGGCTTTGGAACTCATTACCTACTAAAACTAAAATTAATTTACTTAATAATTCTTTAGATAAATCTAAACTTATGTTAAACACACTTTTTACTGATTACTTTGTAAATAACTTTGATTCTTCTTTAATTTGTTCGTTTCATTTTTGTTGTCCTTGTTTCAATTGTGTCTAAATGTTTTTCTGTTCATGTATTTATTTATGTTCTAGCATTATTATTTACTATGTAATTTTAGGTGGCCAGTCTTGTTACTGTGTTTGCCTTCGATACATCTCTTTTTTTGTTTCTTTTCTTTTTGTCACATTTTATAGTATGTATTGTAAAGTTTATTAATAATAATAATAATAATAATAGTACAGGGATTTTTTCAGAATTTCGGTGTTTTCTTAAAATGGCCATAACTCAAAAAATTGAAGTTGGAATTGGCTCAAACTTTCTACACAGCATAAGGACATCAATATGTATCAGAAAATATAGTAAAATTTTGGGGTAATTTTGGAGCCATTTTTTGGAAAAATTCATGGGCTATAGTACAGGGTATTTTTCAGAATTTTGGCGTTTTCTTAAAATGGCCGTAACTCGAAAAATTAAAGTCGGAATCGGCTCAAACTTTAAGTACATCAATATGTATCAGAAAATGTAATAAAAATTGGGAATGATTTTTTTGGCTATTTTTGGAAAAATCCATGGTCTATAGCCTTGGATATTTTTCAGAATTTTGGCATTTTCTTAAAATGGCCGTAACTCAAATAATTGAAGTTAGAATCAGCTCAAACTTTTACAGTTCCACCATTCAACACATGGAGTAGCCATTTTATTCCCGTTCACTACCGTTTATTCTTAATTTATGCTAGTATTCTTAAGGAACCTATTATTCCTAAAATTATTCCAGCATAATCCCCGCACCCCTAGCCGTTGGATACTCTCTGTAGGTATTATTTACTCTTGATATTATACACGGAATAATATCTATGGTCTGACCACGTTTCTGCACGTGGTCACTAATAAAACTGATTAGAGGGTGTGGTCTAAAGTGATAATTAATTTGCTGGAATGTTAGGCGTGGCTCGTTGTTTGGAAGAAGAGGATGTCTGGAAAAAGTTAGTTTATCTCTCCCTACCATCTTCCCTCCTCCTCTGTCTTCATGCTCTCTCTTTCTATTTATTCTTCTGTAGTCATTGTCTTCATTTCTATCATTATTCATTTACTACAGGTTTCAAAATGAGGTCTGAACACAAAGCTCCTGTAATAGGGGAGTCCCTCTACCTGTGGGCAGGGGACCAGGTTGACTTACCTGAAGTTCATGACTCCCTTCAAAAGAGGAAACTGACCTCAAGAGTTGATGTGTACCAGCTTTCTATTGCCCACTGGTCCTCTCACCTAACAAGAGGTACTCCTCCATTAGGAGTAATGGCCTACTCCTGTACCACCTCTCATTCTAATATTTACTATTTCGGTGGATGGTGTGGTCATGATGACTGTTACTCCAATACGTTGAATGTATTGAATACGATAAAGATGGAGTGGACTTCATGCAGTAATGCTGAACAGTCGTTGATGAAGAAAGGCTTTGGTGGAATGATATCAGTGGAATTTGATGGAGCAGAATACCTTGTCATAATAGGAGGGGTTGGTTCTGTACCAACTGTTTACCATCCTCAGTTTCAATATGATCAACTTAAGACTGGTATTGTTCGTACTAATGAACAATTACTTTATAATGTGTCCACTGGTAAGATTCTCTTCATATTAATAGCTTAAATAGCTATTAATAGCAATAAATAAAATAGCATTAAAATTGCTTAAATAGCAATAAATAGCTTTATACATGTATACTATGTCCCAACTGAGAATGGA